CAGCAATGGAGTGGTTGAATAAAGCATTGAATTACTTAATTCCAGGCCTCTTGTTATTTAGGAAATATAAAACACTATTTGATTAAGTCACTGTCAATCACATGTTCCATCACTTGCAGCCAAAACAGGCCTATTTAAATTCCATACTTCAAGGTACCAATTAGAATAATTTGAAGCAGCAGATAGCATAATTCTTCTGATCCTAGTTATCATATTGTTAAAAGTGGAGATAAAATGTCCATACTGGAGAATCATTGAGATAATATATGTGAAGAAAACCTAAAATGTTGTCTGCAACATAGTAGATGCCCAATAATATGTCCTTTTTTCCTGGCTTGGTTCCACTAGAGCTAACATACTTACTGAAATTGTTTATCTATGCATCAGTTTACCACTCTCTTGAATAGGGATAATAATTCTATATTTAATTTTTTTTCTTATTAACTTTTCATGTAGACTCTCTTATGCTAATTCATTAAGTTTTTAAAAATGATGTGTTTTTTTTTAACTTCTTTAGACTTGGGAATAAGTTAGTTACTAAATGCTTCATTAATTCTTCTGGGCCTCTGGAACACAATTAGCTGTTTGCTAAAGTACAATATACAATTAAATACAAGTGATATGAAAACATTTCTAGAGAATGATTTGAGACCATAAGATCATATTGCTCAAGAAAATTTAGGGCTAGAAGATAACTTAGAACCATTTACAATACCTCTTTGTGAGCAGTTGAAGAAACAGATCCAGGCATGTAAGTGATGTGCCCAAGATCAAATAGTTAATAGGAGCAGATTATGATCATTCTGGAAAAGATTTTTCTGGATGCAGAACATGAAGACAATGCAAGTTTTATAAAGCTCTGCAAAGGACTATGAGATATTTGCTCTGAGAATTTTTATTTTAAAATAATTTTTCTACTCTATTTTACTAATGCTTAAAAGGCACGATGGTGTTTTACTATTTCAATTCAGTTAATGAATTTAGATATACTTTAATGGAAAATGTACAAATGGATCACAGGCATATTTTTCTAAGAAATTTAGCTCTCTGGTTTTCTGCTTCAAAACTTTTTTATTTTGAAAATATTCTCTTACAGAAACATAGAACAAATGTGTTATCTACCCCTTGGGCAAAATTTTTAATACTATTTCATGAAACCAAGATTGTTAATAAAGTAGGATTGCATAATCATAAAATTATGGACTGTGTGCTGCAGTCCATGGGGTCGCAAAGAGTTGGACACAACTGAATAACTTAACTGAACTGAATTATAAAATATTACTTGTTTTAAGGAAAATATTTCTGTCATGGGAAAACCAAGTCAAGAGATTTGACCAGATTAGAATATGGGTCTCTCAGCTAATTATGTGACTGAACTCATGCACCTGTCATACTTAGAATAAAAGCTCAGAAGCTCCCAATAATATTCGATACCAGAAGCTCTGAGTGTTGTATGTATCTTTGCCTGGGATTGTGTAAATGGATATGAAATAAACATTTCAGGAAAGTTCAGGCACAAGTTTTAGTACTGGGTGGGTACTTATGAGCCACATACTTTCAGAAATTTTATAGTAAGTTGTGAGCATGTGTATGAATATAGGTACTCTAGTCAAGTCAGCCAACTTATGTGCTTTCATAATTGGGCCTGAATTGCAAGGCTTTTTCCTATGTGACATATGCTCTCCCCATTCCAGAAGTAATATTCACTTGAAAATCTTGTCCTTTCCAATAAGCTTATTACTATCACCACAGGACCGTGGAACAGTCTTCAAACCCCACACGTGGAACCCTCCCCAACAGCTTGTTAAAGTTTCATGAGCTCATCTGTTGTCTTTTGTTAACAGCTCCCTACTCTCCTTCTTCCCCTGCAGCCTTTACTTACACACAACTCATCCAATATTTAAAGAATTTTTAGAGACGAGAGGTGACTTCAGCCAGGAGCTTAGCCAAATTCCACAGCTGGCCCTCACACGTTGCTTTAAGTCTCCAGCCATTGGCTCAGGAAGGTCACAGCTACATGTTTACAAATTAAATTTAGGCCCCTTATCAAAGAAGTTGACTCACATCATGGGCCATAAATTCTTCATTGTGCCTGTTCAGTGCTGTTCACAGATAAGTGGAGCCTATGGGTTTTCAGACTCAGGTTTTATTTTTGTCCGAGGGTCAATGACTCAAAAAATATCTGCTTTCTCCTAGGGCATTAAAAAACAATATAAAATTAAAGAAAACCATCCAGCATCACTGCAGTGTTTTATCTTATAACTTTGGTTAACTTGGTAACTTTTTCATAATGACTGGAGTATTGAGTAACTTTTTAATGTGATACTTATATTTCTGGGAATAAAGACGCAGGACTGGTCAATGTCACCATAACCTCTTAAACTATTCTTTTACAGTTAGCGATGAACAAAGCAGGGTATTTTGCCTCACTTAGAACCAACAAGATTGACTTTACAGTTCTGATTTATCTGAATAAAGAATTTTGCAGTTTCAAAATCACATATATAAATATTACCTTCTTTTAGTGACATACCTCCAGGCATGTCTTGGAGAGTCTTGGATAGCAGTGCATTTTCTTGCTCAGTCTCACCTTCAAGAACAAAAACTAGGAGTATTTTATTTTAGATAAGAAACCAGGTTTTATTCTGGAAAATACTTCACCTCACAGGACTGTGTCCATTTTTCAGAGGCAGTTTCAAAGGAGGATTTTCATAAATACTCGAGCGATTGTTTTATCTGACAGTTGTGGAGTTCTCTGAGGCCATATTCCAGAAGTCCAAGACATTTGCCACAGTTGGCTTTACCCTTTGCTGGGACTAATTTTTATATTTCTCAGTTCTTTGTCTGATGCTCTTCCCTTCTACACAGTGCTTCAGTGATGTCTTTGTTCATCTGAAAGGAATGCTGTGAGATGACTCCGGTAGAAGCTTCCTACAAAGCAGCTTCAAATCATGTCTTCTCAAAAAACGGGAAGAGAAGAATTGATCCCAAAGCCACATAATACAAGCAAAATTCCTGAAGTTTTTCTGCTTAAGTAAGTGACTCAAATAAGTAAGTGACTCAAATATAAGCTGGATCTGACTGTCTATCTATCTGTCTAATTCATCCATCCATTCATCCATTATCTATCTGAAAGGAAAGCTCATAGTGGAGGGCCTAAGACTGTGCAGTTCTTTAATTATTCTAGGACAGTGTCTGAGGAGATAGGACTTTCAGCTTGTTGGTCAGTGAGTGAGAGTGCGGTGTCTACATGATAAGAAGAGTACTGGACTTGAATTCTAGTTTGCCTTTGGGCTTCTAGATAGGCCTCTGCCACAGACAGCTGTGTTATATCAATTAAGCTGATCTCTTCTACAGTTTTGAGCTTCCCTCGTGGTTCAGATGGTAATGCATCTGCCTGCAGTGTGGGAGACTCTGGTTCGATCCCTGGGTTGAGAAGATCTCCTGGGGAAGGGAATGGCAACCCCCTCCAGTATTCTTGCCTGGAGAATCCCACGGACGGAGGAGCCTGGTAGGCTCTAGTCCATGGGGTCGCAAAAAGTCAGACACAACTGAGCGACTTAACTCACTCACTCACTTCTACTTTCATTGCTTATTCTATAAAATGAGAATAAGAAATTGCCTTGACTAGGTTATTGAGAAGTGTAAATAACAGTCTGAATATAAAGAATTGACACATAGTAATAGTAACACTCTTACAGTAATGATAACAAATGAGAACTTGAAAAACCGTGTGGTGTACAGGGAAGATAATCAAGAAGCCAAAGGACTTGAGTGATAGTTCAGCTTTTGGCCAAGGTATTTTATTGTCATGGACTTTATGATAAACCTATGGGGATAAAATGGTCTTTCTCTGAGATCCGTTTCAGTTCTAAGCATTCAATAATTCTTCTGCTTATGTCTGTCTATGTGCCTTGGATAGGATAAGCGGACATCCCAGACATTCTCCTTCCTATTAAGTCAGCCCTGTGCCATCTGTGATGGAGTTTCTCTGTGTATGATTTAAACACTTTCAAGCCACTGAATTTATCTTATATTCTCTTACAGGAATTAGAAATTTTTTTTTACTTTTATTTTTTGTTTTGTTTTAGCAGTGATGTGAGGAGTGTGCACATGTGGTTTCTGAGGACTGGGAAGGATGGTTTCTATACAAACATGCTTTTATTGTTTATTTTTTTTCAATAATTGTCATTTCCTTTATAGTCACTCAGACCAGCTTCCTTCTTTCATTTGCAAATTTTCTCATATAATTAGTCAAGCAGTTCTTTTTGAGTCTATATTTTTAACATTTGTTTCTACTCTGACTATTGCAGATCAGATCCCTATTTATTATTTCTTACTTGGATCATTGCCCTGGCCTTGTAACTCCTCAGTCTCTTCCAAACTATTCTACATCTTACTGCCAGATTAATCTTTTAAAAACTCTGTTCTGATTTATCATTCTTCTATTCAAAAGCCTTCAGTAATTCTGTCTTGCCAGCCAAAAGTGTTCATGTTCATTTGCAAGGCATTCGAGGCACTCCATGACCTGATTCCAACCCAAATTTCCAGCCTAATCTCCCACTGCTGTCCTTTACATAACTTGTACTCCAGCCAAACTGAACCACTTACCATTTCTCAAATGTGCACTTGTTCCTGCCTCCTTACCTTTTGCTCTCTTTAAAATGATTTCCTTCAGCTTATAATTTCCTCTGTGTCCATTGTGCCTGTCAAAACCCTGCATCCCTCAATAATCACATCGAATACCTCCATAACATCATTTCTCATCTCCTCAACAAGAAAGAATACCAGTAATACTCTGCACATAACTCCCTTTCGGCAATGACTTGTAGGGGATTTGGTGTCAGATAACTGAGTGTTGAGTCTGGATTTTGACTTTTATTACTATTGTGCGGTCTTGGTGCAAATCTTTTTTTTTTTTTTCAATGTTCAGTTTTCTTTAATGACCCCCATTCTCCCCGAAGGGCAGGTGCAGGCGGCTGGGCGATGGCAAGAGGTGTTCACTTGAAGATCTTGCCCTGATTGAAGGCTTTGCCCACATGCTGGAAAGCCCCTTCCCAGCAAAAGTATTCTCGAACCAGAGTCTGGGTCTCCTCACTGCTGGGATCCAGTTTCCGCCATGTGTATGACTCATAGTCCACCTGCCAATCTGGACTCAGCGGAAAAGCAAGCTCCTGGCCTCGAAAGACCCAGACCCCAGAAATGGAGCTGCTATTGTTGGTTCCAAAGAGAATGACACTGGCAAAGGCATTCTTCCTCAGTTTGTCCAATCGCTGGAACATTCCAGTGATCAGGTTGCAACTCATGAAGGTCTGGGTGAGCTCTTCAGGGAAGCGATACTCAGAGTACCACAGGGACCAGCCATCCTTATCAAAGTGATCCCAAAAGTACGGCAGTGCCACGGAGAGCGTATCCTCGTTGGAGTACTTGCGCTTAAATTCATCCAACACAAAGGTACTCTTGGGCAGATGGGCAAAGGGATCCTTGGTCTTCGGCTCGGCAGCCAGCGCCTGCTCACATTCATCCAGCTTCTCCTCAGGAGCAGGGGCGGCTGCCTTCTCCTCTTTGCCCTCCTTCCGCTCCGCCTGGGGCTTCGGCTTCTCTTCTCGAGAACCTTTCTCCTTCCATGGGGTGTCCTTTTTAGGCTGGCTCTCTGTAAACTTTTTAGCATCAAACTGGGCCATTTTCTCACAGAGTTTCACCTCTCCCAAGACAGCCCGGAACTGGGGCTGGTTAATGCAGGCGAGGAACCAGCGGTTGGTGTTAGGGAAGGCCCGGCGGAAAGAAGGCTCCAGAACCTGTTTATAAAGCCACGACAGGGGGCAGAAAACTGTGATGTCAGCCAGCGTCATGCGTTCTCCCACCAGAAAAGTCCCCGTCTTCAAGTGAGCATCCAGCGGCTCCAGAATTCGCCTCACCTCTTCCTTTGCATTCTGTGGCCTGCTCGCTGTGGTGCATGATGCCCAGGGTAGGGACACCCAGGTGCTGGCTGGTGGCGCTGTGTCGCTATCAGCAAAGCTCACCCACTGCACCACCTGCACTGCTGCCTCTACAGTACTTCCCCGCAGCTCCTCGTTGCTCACATAGTAGGCAATGGCGTTGCTCTCGAACACGCAGAATCCATCGTCACCCTCAAAGGCTGGAACCTTGCCAGCAGGAAATTTACGGAGAAATTCGGGGGTGCGGTTGGTTTGGCCAAAATGGAAGTGGGGTGGTGCGGACCTGAGCCCCGCTGCACTGAGCGGCAATGAGGGCCTTGAAGGCCCTCCAGTTTTCAGGGTACGTGTCCAGGGTCCCAGCCGCCATGGTGATTCCGCAGAGAAAGGGGCAGCGCAAATCATTTAAGCTCTCTTAGCCTCAACTTTTTTCACATTAAATAAGAATGAGCGCTTATTCTGTATAATTCACAGAGTTATTTTGAATATCAAAAGGAACACATATATAAAAATTTTACAATATAGGTTTATCTTTTGTCTTATCTCAACTATATACTAAAGTTCCTATATCAAGGAAGTATGTTTCACTTATTTTGGGGGGCTTTGTATATGCCATCAGGTACGCTATAAATGCTTATTAAATTAATAATTTTTAAAATATAATTTTCTTTGAAAAGAGAATATCAAGAGTTATCAATAAACATGTATCTCTTAGTGCAGTATTTCTCCTTTTAAGATTTTTTCATAGTACACTTCCACTTAAGATCACTTAAGTGATCACTTTGTGATCTTAATGGGGCAAAATCATACCATGTATCCAAATCCAGTTAAAACTTCTCTCTGAAGGCTATGAAGAACAAAGTAGTTTGTTTCAGTGTGGAAATTTTCTGAAAGTTTCTGCATATAATTCTATAGTACAACAACTTTGGGAACTTTGATTTCATCATTCTTGTACCTCAAATAAAGCCAACACACACACTCATGTACTAACACACACATACACACACACACACACACACACACACACACACACACACACAAAGAGAAGAAAAAGGTTTTAGGCAAATCAGATTTCTTATGAACGAAGTGATTCTTCTTCTTTAATGCCCTGAACTCTCATGGAAGTACCAGAAACTATAGGGTAGATGTCTGGGACTTATATATAAATTGCATATAATTTGCACTTGCTCGATTAGCTTCATCTGTGTTTTTGGTCAATTAAGATGATTGCCCAACTGAATTGTTACTCTTTATTTCTGTCTTCCTTTTCTTCTAATGTCATTGGCCCAGGTGCCCTGCCTCAGAACTCTTCAGCAGTCAGGAATGAATGAGACCCCTAGGGGAAGGAAATGCATAAAGACAGAGAAATATTGAAGAGACAACAGTTTAAGTATGTGCAGCACAATGAGAGGGTGTCACTCAGAACAGAATGTTCATCTAGTAAAAAAGAAATCACTCTTGTTTGTTTCTGTGATTGTACCAATGAAGAACAAGCCAAGAAATCCACAATACTCTCCTTGGTCTACAGAGAGAACTGGGGGTACATTACTTCTCCAGTGGGAAGGGAGTTTGTTTGGGTTACTTAAGCAGCAGCATAGGATTAAGGAGTGACATAATCCCTTCTTGGAAGAATCTGGCTGAGTTTTGTGTCATTTTCGGAAAATGAGGGTGATGCACCGAGAATGACAGATTGACCGGAAAGAGAACTATGTGGAAACCTCCTAACCTCCTTGAGTTTTATCCAAGGAGAAACTAGAGGGTGAAAGAATGCCTAGGCACTAATATGCAAGTTCCTGCTAATAATCCAGATCTGGAAAGAGGTGTGTGTCTGGAATACTTGAAATCAAATCTCTCTGATCCCATAAGGACTCTATATGTTTAATTGGAATCTTAGAATTGTCTCAAAGGTTCTTATATAGAATGTTCTATCTTGTTCTGAGTTGAGAGAGAAGAGAAGAGTGCAGAACAAAGGATTATCAGAAGCTGTATTAAGTCAATGAAACACTGGAGTATTGCTTAGGTAAAAATGGGGCATAATTTGTTTATGAAATTTTCTTTAAAATGGCCCTTGCCATAGCCTCTGAGGACTCTAAGCTTGTGCAGTGTATGGCAGGATACAGGATCTAGCTTATGCCTCTGTGTTCTTTCAGTTCTCTGTGCTGACTGATAGGGTGGTGGTGCAGACAGGGTAATTCAGTATCAACGTTCTCCATTTTTCTCTGTCATACACCCTCATTTCTGGCTTTTCTGGGAAAGAGTGTTCTGCTCCTCTTTAATCTCCTGATTCCACTGGGTTTTCTTTCTTACTTTCCACATAGGTTTTTTTCTTTTTTTTTTCTTTTGCTGATGTTTCTCACAGCCATGTACATGACAACATGACAAAAGTCATATTTTTGACAAATTGATAAGTGATAGGAAGATTAACCTCCTGTCTTCAAAAGGCATAGGGACGGTTGATTTGCTTAAATCTTGCTCAAGGTAATAGAAGTTGAATCCCTGAAAGGACCAAGTTTCTTTTAAGAGGCCCACTAGAACTGGACATGGAACAATAGACTGGTTCCAAATTGGGAAAGGAGTACGTCAAGCCTGTATATTGTCACCCTGCTTATTTAATTTATATGCAGGGTACATCATGTGAAATGCTGGTCTGGATGAAGCACAAGCTAGGATCAGGATTGCCGGGAGAAATATCAATAACCTCAGATATGCAGATGACACCACCCTATGGCAGAAAGCAAAGAATAACTAAAGAGCCTCTTGATGAAAGTAAAAGAGGAGAGTGAAAAGTTTGGCTTAAAACTCAACATTCAAAAAACTAAGATCATGGCATCAGGTCCCATCAGTTCATGGCAAATAGATGGGGAAAAAATGGAAACAGTGAGAGACTTTATTTTCTTGGGCTCCAGAATCACACTGCAGATGGTGACTGCAGCCATGAAATTCAAAGACGCTTGCTCTTTGGAAGAAAAGCTATGACCAACCTAGACAGCATATTAAAAAGCAGAGACATTACTTTGCTGACAAAGGTCCATTTGGTCAAAGCTATGGTTTTTCCAGTGGTCATGTATGGATGTAAGAGGTGGACTATAAAGAAAATTGAGCACTGAAGAATTGATGCTTTTGAGCTGTGGTATTGGAGAAGACTCTTGAGAGTCTCTTGGACTTTAAGGAGATCCAACCAGTCAATCCTCAAGGAAATCAGTCCTGAATATTCATTGGAAGGATTGATGCTGAAGCTGAAACTCCAATAGTTTGGCTACCTGATACAAAGAACTGACTTCTTGGAAAACATCCTGAAGCTGGGAAATATTGAAGGCAGGAGGAGAAGGGGATGACAGAGGATGGGATGGTTGGATGGCATCACCGACTCAATGCGCATAAGTTTTAGCAAGCTCTGGGAGTTGGTAATGGACAGGGAAGCGTAGCATGCTGTAGCCCATGGAGTCACAAAGAGTGGGACATGACTGAATGACTGAACTGAACTGAACTGTGCCCCACTGACCAAGACCATATTGGGGGCAAGGTTATGTTACATAAATGCACTTTCTCCCAATTTCTTGCCAGTGACTTTTTCTTTTTAAATGAATGGATTAGAAATGTTGGTTATAAAAAAAGCTGATAGAAAGTGTTGATGATACCTTCCCTCCTAGAAAAGCTAGTGTGGCAACTTCAGGATTTGTAGGCAGGAATGTATTTTGAATTATAAGCAATTCAAGAAAGTGACCTGGAGAAAGGGCTGGAATGGGGGAAGAATGCTACTTTTAGCCATGATTTTTTTTCCTCTGTGTTCAGTTTACTTCTTTAATCCTTTGAGATGTCCTGAACCCTGAGCTCTGGTCCAGGGAGGCAGAACTGCACGCAAACCCCTCTTGGCCCTGGCACACGTGCACGGTTAACTAGAACACGTGGGCTCAGTTACTTGAATTGAAAACAGACCTGAATGAAGAGAGATCTGTTTTGTGTCCCAATGCCTCTGTGTCCAACAAGTTATCAGCAGGCCATGAGGGATGAAAAGGTCTTCCAGCAATCCGTGCTCATCATCACTGCCTAGTGATTTAATTCAGAGTTCAGATCGTAAATTGGACTTGATGTAAAACATCAGCCAGGGCTGAGCGTCTGCCTGGGTGTGCTGGGCTTGCCTCAGGCTGACCTAGCGACAAAGCATGCTGTCACGTCTGGGTCATTGGCTGTCAGCGGACAGCTCCCTGTGGGAGATCCAGGTCGTGAGCGTTGCAATTGTCTAGACAGGAGGTGACAAACAATGTTGACCTTTGGGATGAGATTGATCTCCTTATTTTTTGACAGGAGTCCTTTCCAAAAGGGGTGGGGTCTCAGGAGGCACAGTCTAGAAGCTTCATCATCTGTGAGTGGAATCAAACCTGTGTATCCGCTCCACCCAGACTGCAATGCCAAAAAGAGTTTCTCAAGGGTGTTTTTTTTTTTCTTTCTTCTTTTTTTTTTGAGCTAAACGGTGATGCTATATTCACTGGGTTTCAAGAGTGTGAGGAAGGAAAAAGGGAAAAAGAACCTACTTTAATGCTGTGTCAGCTCTGAGGCATAGAGTATTTTGTTTAAACCCCTTAAGATGTTATGAGGTTTGTTATCTTCACATTAGAGAGGAAAATATATAGGCTCAGAGATGATCAGAACTTACTACCTAGGGCCATGTAGCAAGTAGTGCCATTTCTTTCAGAAATGCGTGATTATCAAGCACAAATATTTCAAATCCAAAGGCTGTTTACCATTTTGCAGATAAAAAAGGTCCCAAACCAAAATGTTTTTAGCCATTTGGCAAAGGCAAATGTGATTTTTCTCTATTCATCTTTCTTCTTTTTGTTTCTTTTCTCTTTCCTTTCTTCTTGTTATTTCTCCATTCTATCCCTTCCCTCTTTAACTGTTGCATCTGCAGACTGGGAGAATGGATGTGATAATAATTCTTACATAGACAACTCTATATTCAAAAGTTTTTAGCCATCTTCAAGCTGAACTTCAGACTCTTACCTTAAAAAGAGATTCCCATTGAGATTAACCAGGGTTTGCAGGTTAATAAAAACCATTCTGGTTGAAAATTATTTGAGCCTTTATTTCATTCTGTGAACTATCAAATAAAATTAGGCCATTCTTCTAGTCATTTATTTTGTATTTCTTGGTATGTTTAATAATACACCAGAGATGCTTTTTATTTGATTTTTAAAAATAATTATATTTGTAAAGAAAAAGAAGTTTCAAAGCTATGGGGAATTATGTAAGTATATATACTATTTTATTTGCTGCAAGGTATTTATTGATTCATTCTACAATAAAACATTTCACACAGAATGCCTGCTTAACGGGGAACAATATGTAGCCCAAGGATTTCCTTTAGATTTATTAGGAGACTGAAATTTTATTTTTATTTGCTCTGA